ATCCTGTTCACACATCTCCCACACCGCCCAATGTTTTCGCCATTTCATGGCATTGGTAAGGCGTGTGAGTCCGGCACCGGTATCCCCGTCGGCGGCCAACAAGAATCGGTGTACATTCCAGTCGTTGCTCATCACGAGTTCCATGTCTTTCCTGTAGTAGAGGTCAGGGTTTGTGTTGAACTCCGTCTGAAATCCGTCCCTCATTTCGATGATCGCCTGCTTCTCGTCGTCGGTCGGCTCTATCAGTGACGGCGCCGGCATTTTTGGCTCTCAGGTTAGGGTTTACTATTATATTACAATAAAAAATAATTAATTACAAATGTATTATATTTATTTAGTAAATTAAGAAATTAAATCATACATTTGGTTTAAATAAAATATTAATAAAATGTGGTTAAAATGAAAATATATGATTAAAAACCATAAAAACTATTTAAAGAGCCATAGATTAATGGAAAGACTTAATGAGTGATCGACTCAATAAAAACTATAGATTGAAAACTACTGAGTTAACTAAACCTCTCAAAGGTATGTCTCTCAATGAAAATAAAGTTCTATGATTTGACTTTTAAAATAAATTAAACTAATAAACTTAAGTGAGATAAAGTGGATTAAACCAAACTAACTAGGAATACATTTGAAAGTGAATACTTACTTGCAACATTGAAAGGTTCGTTATAAAACCTTATTAATAAGTTTACTTTCATGTCAAATCTTTCCATTCAGATTATATTCAATAATAAGTTAAATAGATTACAGGTATACTTGTGTCATTTATAAATATTCTTTAATAATTAATCAAATATTAAATGTTTGTACAAATGTTTATATTTAAAAGTTCATTTTAATATTGTATTTGTAAAAATAGATAATCAAAACTGACTATACATTAGCTAATATGTTGCATACTATAGTTTAAAAATATCAATATATTAAACAATTATAGCAATTATAGGAAATATATTGAATTAAACTTTAGCTGATTGGAGAGATCCAGAGCTGACACTAAATCCCGTTGAATGGATTGACTGGAGTTGGGAATCAGTTTTGAGACCAATTTGTTTCAAAGGACCCAAATTCTCCTCTCTTTCGTAATAATCTTTAAACTTTTGGGTCTCTTTTCGTTTCCGACTTTCAGACACTTTTGTGAGAAATATTTACATATATTTAGATTTATATTTAAGAAATGATAAGCAATACTTGGTTTGTCACTCGACTCCTCCGAGAATTCTGTAAAATTTTTAAATCCTTTACAACAAAATACGATCACAATTAGGATTATTATCAATACGATGAGTACTATTAAGACTATAATTGTTATCTCAGTTTCATTGAGTGATCCATTTGGTTTGGGTGTTGTGGATGACATTTTATAAATTGTAAGATTTTCTAACGAATAATTGAACCGATTATAACCAATAAATTTGCTATAAATTACAACACAAATTCATTTTGAATTTTATGATATTCATGAAAAGCGCGCATATATTCTGTTGTTAAACATATTGTTTTAACTCTATGTTTCATAACACATAATATTGTACACATAAAACTAAAGATCAACCGGAAGTAATTATCATCACAATTGATCCAATAATTTATTAGTCAAAATAACGTATTTATTGATCATTTAAATTACATTAAGTAAGAAACATAAAGACTGATAATTGCCACCAACACATTTCTACTTATTTTAAATACGAATTATAAAAATAAGTCTAATATACGATTAGATTTAATAATTATCAGCAAATCAGTTTAAATGAGTATTTGTGTGAAAAATAATTATTTGTTTATATAAATAGACCTGGACACATCTTTCACACCATTGGTCTCAAACCCGACCGATTCGAGTGATGCAGTCATAGGCTGTTTGGAAGGAAACACTTCTGGTATTAGATTCTCCTTTCGGTTGAAATATTTCTGAAGCTTTTCTTCATTGGTTTGTTGGTTTCGTTTAGATTTCTTGGTCACTGAAATACAATTGAAAACTAGTTATAAAATAATCATATTCTATTCAAATATTAGTACTCTTTTTGTCTTTTTTATTGTTTCTGTTTTTAAAGTGTGTCCACAGAATATAAGTAAAGCAAACGGTAAGTGAAATGCCAATAACCACTGCACACACTATGATCATTATAATAGTCCATTGAATGCCAGTATTATCGGTGGGTTTGGGAGGTTTTCGTGGAAATTTTGGAGGATTTTGTGGCGGACTCTTACTATCATTTTGACAATTAATCAGTAGTTTTAGTTTGGATTCTTGACACTGAAAATCAAGAATTGATTTAATTTTATGTCATTTATAGTGGAATTATATGATTACTGAATCTGAAACTTGTGTCGAATTATATTGTGGAGCCAAACAGTATTTGATGGCAGTATTACTCTTAAACAATACTATCAAACCATTAAATTCATTGCTTTCATAGCGATAAAGTGCTATTATTTCCAGATTTGTAGGTAAACTCTCAATTAGTTTAGTCGACTCGTGATCAGTTTGACCTGGGTCAGATGCTTTAAATGTATAAATACCTACTTTTCTAGTAAATTCATTAGTCGTTAAGTTGAAGTACTGTGTTAATAAATTAAATTTCCAGTAATCTAAACTCTCAAATAGTGGCATAAATGTTATAAATGTGGTGTCAGATATGAATGTGACATTCAGAT